ACAGTTTAAATAAAATATATTCTGTTCTAAATTGTGCACACTACTTTAATGCAAGTCAGTGCTTAGGTACAGATAAGCAAATTATGTTTTGACAATAAAGCAAAAGGTGTTTAGTGATTCTTTCAACAAAATATTATTTATCTAATGAACAGAAAGTGATAAAAGTATCAAAAAAGAAATCCCAAGAAAATATTCCAAATTCATTAAATGATAAATTTCCCGAGATGTTTCTTGCTGAGGAAAACACATAATTACATAACTTGCATCAATTAAAAAGATATAAAACTTTATTAATTGTGAGTGCAACGGAACCTTTGATCGGCGCTAACATGTAATGCGCACTAAAATTGATAATCCTGGTAACAACTGCATTCTGAGAAACCCATAGACTGTTTTGTCGTTCATTTCCGATGTTAGACAGAACTAAAGTGTTTTAAATTTTATTCTTTTGACGAGCAGATAACCTTCCCCCAATTCTCCAAAGAGACCCTTACGAGTTCTCGGTCGTGGAAGGAGACACCATTAATAGTAAGATTATGGCCTATGACCCAGAAGGGTCTCAGCTAACGTATGAAATAAACAACACTAAGGCCACAGTACAACAGGGAGGAAGCTTCATCTATAAGACAAAGGTCTCCTCCTTGGGGAGAAACGGGTACTTCGAATACTTCAGAATTTCCATTACAGACGAATGCGATATGCAGTCCTCTATTATTGTTAAGGTGTGTGAGTGTGTCTTTGATGATTATTAATCGATGATGATTTTACGATAAATGAAAAATTTACAAAAATCCTTACACAACTTTCATTTTCATTTGAAAAACCGTTTCCAAGGAATTTTAATTAATATCAAAGTGTTTAGTAATAAAATTTATACATATCATTTCGTTTTTAACACGTTGTCTTTATTGTTAATCTTAGGTGGCAGTGAGTATGTGCAACTGTCGAAATAACGGAACCTGTGTTGCAAAAGAAGTTAGAAAACCAAACCAAGCAAGAGTTGTTGAATGTAACTGTCAACATCCGTTTTCAGGTGTGTTGAATTCTACTGAAAGAAAGGCCTAATTAGACAGCTTTTGTAGATATCTAAAAAAAAAAAAAACTGTAGTTAAAAAAATAAATAGCATATTTCTGAAAAAAAAAAGATTAACATTCTAATATGTTTTCTGAAATTGATCATAACAACTTATGAATTTTATACTTCTGAATACGTGAAGGCTCCCTATGCGAGAAGTCACCAGACTTCTGCGCCAGTCGACCGTGTTTCCCAGGCGTCCAATGTACGAACCTGAATACCTCCTACAGATGCGGTCGCTGTCCGCCTGGACATGCTGGAAACGGCGCTATCTGTAAGTAATGCCTTCCCAAACATCAGTTTTTAAGGAGGATTAGCCTAAATTCTCCAAGATTGACTGTCGTTTGATATCCACGACCTGTGATTTAAAGGTCGGTGCTAAATATCAATCAATTATGTTTTCCAACGAATTGCGATGAATTCTTGGGATTACGAGAGATTAAACGAAAGTTTGTTTTTTCTACGAAGAATTTCAGAAAACTTTCAAATGTTGTAAAGGGTCTGTTTTTTTCTGTGATTGATGGTTTTGGAAGTCTAGATACGAGTCCTAAGAGCTGAGAAAAATGTTACATAGCTGATTTGTTTTTAATCCAGGTAGGCTGTCGTGTAGTTCTTCACCCTGCTTTGAAAATGTTACTTGCACTGACGATCTTTATGGAGAGAAGGGATTTAGATGTGGATATTGCCCTCGATTTTACAGAGGAGACGGTGTACAGTGCAATAGGACAGGTTGTTTGAATAAATTAAATAAAAATTATTCTCACAATATTTATTTGGGATAAAAGAAAAAAATATATACATGTATAGTTGTTCATTAAATTAAGTTTTTAATAACCTATTCAGATTTAGATGCGTGTAAATACGGCGTATGCCCTAGAGAAGGCAGGTGCGAGAACACTGCGCAATTTCCGGGATATCGATGCCTACCGTGTCCACAGGGTTACCAAGGAGACGGCATTCAATGCTCAGGTTTTACATGTATTTATAGAATCTAATACATTAAATTCTGAATGATTTGTTATACAAGAAAATACTTAAGGTTATATATTTTCTCAGTCCCTTGCAAAGTGAATTGCCAGAATGATGGTACATGTATTAATGGCAACAGATGCTCGTGTAAGGCAGGATATGAAGGCGATTCATGTGAGAAAGGTTAGCCTAACTATTTCTGATTAATTAATTAACCAATTAATTCTGATTAATATATAATTATGCAAGACTATTTTAGAATAAAATAGAATAATAAATATACATGTTATAATTTCTGAATGTGTTTAACAACGATATCTTTAACATCATGAAATTAACAATGGCTGCTAGTCAAAAGAATTTCAAAATGTTAGAATGCAATATTCTACAAAAATTGTTTACACATTTTTTTTTTGATCAAGTCCAAATAAATTATTTTTCTTTTTCAGAAGTATGTTCAGTAAAATGTTTGAATGGGGGTCGGTGTTACAACGGAAACCGATGTCTTTGTCCACAAGACTACTCGGGCTACTACTGTCAGACGCCTATCTGTAATCCGCCCTGTCAAAACAGAGGCATGTGTGCCCGCCCGGGCACCTGTTACTGCCCTTTTGGGTATTACGGCCCAACGTGTGAAAGAAGTGAGTATCTTGTAAGAATGAAGCACCATGTAGCACACAACTAAAAAAGTCTTGAATTGCATGCACTTTGATACCCATACACCAGATTTTGGAATAAGATTTCTCTACTGTACTCTTCAAGATTCTGTTGTTTCAAATTTGAATTAATTGTTCTCTGTCTGGTGTTGGAGTATCTTTCACACAGTACATTTTCAGGACTAACAGTACTATAGCCTTCTGTTTTGCCTCTTTTGCCAGTAGAAGTAGGCGTAGTCATATTTTGCTGAATTTCTTATTACAGCTATGTGCTTTCGCAGATGCAGATACATGTGTCAGCTGAATTTTAAAAGATGTTAGTATTTCTTTTTTTTTTTTTGGTTTGTAATCAATGTAGTAAACTAAAATGGGACTCTAAACAATTTTTTTTGGTCGTATATGTTTGTTCTTTTATTTTATATTTAACTCGTTTTTTTTAAAATACTAATAATATAATAAAAACATATATCATAAGTTTCATTCTAAGGTGTCTATATTTAACAAAGGTCTTAAATAATTAAACGTATTTCTAAGGATAGGTCCACTGCTTATGTTTGCAAATTGCACTTTTTAGCTACATGTTGGACATACTGTCAAAATGGTGGACGGTGTGTGTTCAATTCATGTTTGTGCTCAAGAGGTTGGACGGGTCTTCATTGTCAAATACGTACGTAAATAACTCGGCAATACAGTATTGATTATTATTTTTTGATTTGCTAAAATATATCGAGTTAGGATTGAAAAAAAAACCTTTTCATCTTTCCCAACAGCAAAATGTGAAATTGGGTGTATGAACGGGGGAACGTGTGTGGGAACAAACCAGTGCCGATGCCAACCCGGATACTGGGGCTCATATTGTCAACATGGTAAATTGAAATCTCGGGTCTTGTTATTTTGCAAGGGCAATATTTTTATCTGACGATGGATTTTACTTTTATTACGTTCCTTTTTGCAGCATTGTGTTGGCCAAGATGTCGGTATGGTGGCGAATGCATAAAACCAAATGAATGTAGATGCAAACCTAACTATTCTGGTCGGTACTGTCAGGTAGGTCATTGAAATATGGCGTAATAACATGTTTTTTCTAATTAATATGTGATGAAATGACAGTAAATTTTAACTGTTTATGAAACAGTAGTCAAAATGTAAGCATTTTTACATAGTTTTGTACTTGTATGTTTTTTTTTTCTTTACAGATCATAAGATCATCACGTCGACCAGCATGATAAATTTGGTGCAAATCTTTACTCGGTATGCGGGGATTTATTATAATGTACTCATTTTTTCTTGTTGGACTTTTTTATGTTTATACTTGAGTTTTTACTGTGCTTTGAGAGAGGGAGAGAGAGAGAGAGATTTAAACACATTAAAATGATTAAAAAAACTTTTTTCTTCATTTTATCATCTACAAAAGCCAAGGCTCGGTTAACTAAGCTACAAAAATACTATTTTCGATATACATTCTATAATTGGGATATATAGATCTTTTCGAGAAAGATTATCCCTTAACATTCTGAGAAAACTAACTCGAGTAAGATTTTCCCATCGGGAAACTGACTCAATCGTTCGATCACTCACGGAAAACTGGCTCTGAATAGAATTCCCTCCACAAAACTAATACTCTACAGTACACAAATTTTCGAGGGGAAGTCCTACTCTGTAGAGTACAACTTTCACCCAGAGCCAGCCTCCTCTCCCCTACAGGTTGCTTGCATTTCCTGTAATGAAAATTAAAACTGCAATACATTTTTTAAAAATGCTTATTTCGATATAAGGACGTCACACTTTGTTCTTTCAGCAACGAAAATTACTGGGATTGTTATGCTGGAAACCCCCGTTGTAAAAGCCAACGTCTCAAATTATTAAAAATAATCGCACTTTATTAAACAGAGTAGTATAATTCCCTCAGTAAATTGAATCTGGTGTTGGCTTTTTGTGGGGAAATTCCTACTCTAGTGCCATTGTTACGTGGGTGAAAATCTTTCTTCAGTGCTATTTTCCGTGAGCAAACTCCTACTCCAGAGCCTACTTTTCGAGAGGAAATCCTACTCTTAAAGCCAATTTCCCGGGGGAAAATTTTAGAGGGGAAAGCCTACTCTACAAGAACGATCTTTTGAACAGACATTTACATGCAAGTTCCCGAAATAGCATAAATTTACGAAGTAGTTCCTGTGAAAACATTTTAATTTTAATATTCAAGAGCTTGAGAGCGCTAGCAAAAAATAAATAAATGAAATAAATAATGAAATAAAAAAAAATAAATAAAATGAAATATAAATAAGTAAATAAAAAAGGTGGCAAGATGTTTTTATAGTCGATATGAAGTACATTGCGGTTTTGTAAGGAAATATAGACTGAGGAAGTATTTTATAGATGTAAATACAAAGCAGTAAATATAATTAAATTATGAATATTTTTATATTTTGTAACACATATGGGTGTGCAATTAAATTGCTAAATCACATTTTGAATTTTTTGTTAGTACTTTAAAGAAACCTTGGAAAAGAAAAAAATAGCTAAACTATTTCACTGTAACAATATAGTTTATTCAAACACCAAATGATTCTTTTCCGTTGATTTACTCCATGGATCAACTTCTCTTGGACACTGGACGAACGAGGGTAGTATTTGCATACGTACCTAGAAAATACAGTTTTTTCATTTAATGTTATGAAACCAAAATTCTTGAGAAATATCTGAGAAAATCAACGAATGCCTTACCCTCAACTATGAAGTTAGCTTGCTCTCCATCGTTTTCAGTAATAGAAATTTCTTCATAAAAACCTGGCCCAACAGACTCTTTTCTCAAGTTTGAATATGCCCTAATAACAATGTTGTGTTTTAAAAAAAATGTAATTTTCCCCCCAATCTATAAATATTTCCTTATTCAAATTATTGAAATGGTTTTGATTTATGAACAAATTTAAATAGCAATGAAAGTTACCCTCTGGTGGTGTTTAGCTTACAAGATCACATATATTCAAGTCATTCGAATGAAAAGAATGAATACATACTCAGGCGCTTTCAAAAGTGTTGCTGACTTTTTTCTTTTTATGGAAACGTATTCGTCTTTAGTAGAAAGAACCGAAACCGAGGCTTCACTTTGGATCTTAATTGATTTCTTAGCTGGAAAATATAAAAGTTCTCCTGTATTTTTTTTTTTTTTTTTTTTTTTGGGGGGGTAAAGAAAATATGATCAATTAAAAAATCATTATAGAAATTAGCTTATACAACTAACAATTACACAGATTCTAGATTTTTTTTATTTTGATTACCTTTTTTCGACGTCTTTACTTTTTTCTTCCTCGCAGTTTTCCCTGAAATTTCATCATACAAGCATGGAGTAACTTGCGTTTGTTCCTGCATATTCAGATGCGAGAACTGCCTGAAATTAACAAATATGTCACAATTAGTTCTTTAAGAAAGAAAACAACAAGTACAATTTATCAAGTATTTACAATCATGTGATATGGTCCGTAGCTCTAATGGGTTTGATACAGAGAACGACTTAACTCATACATTGCAAATATTTTTCAGAGCAAAACTTATGGTTAATATGATAATTTAAAACATTTCATCTATTTGTATTGTGGCAAATTTCTGCCCCCTACATGCAAGATACTTTATGTTAACATGCAACATAATTATGTAGACGTGCGACTAACATATGTCAACTTGCCAAATAATTGCAGTACGTTGACATGCAAGTTACCAATCTTGTTGGAGAATCTTTAATGTTGGTAAACATACTAACGCCAAAATATGATATCATACAATCAAGATGCAGCATAATTATGTAGACATACGACTTATTTATGTTTACATGCGAAATAATTATGTAAACATGCGACTTATTTATGTCCACATGCAAGATAATTATGTAGATAACAGCTTTTTTTATGTCAACATGCTAGATAATTATGTTAAAATGCGAGTTAGTTAAGTCAACATGCGAGATATGTATGCTTACATGCAACTTATTATTGCATGCAACTAATCATTATTGCATGTTGACATAAATAGTTTGTATGTTAAAATATAACTCATATGGTGGCATATTTCTGACCCCTACATTTTTAAAAGGTCCTAATTATAGGGAACCCCGATCCTTCAACTGGCGTCGGAATTTCATAAATATTATGGATTCTGTAGAGGACTACGCCAGGCGATGGGCCAGACATGAAAAAGAAGACCTTGACACTTTGTCAGAATGGATTAAATGTATCAGATGTATGTTAAAATCGCGCATTAAAAGATTGAGGGGCAATATATGAGAACCATCTATCCTTCTGTATTCAATAATCCAGAAGTGAAAAAAGAATTAAATAGATTACATGTTCAGTAGGTACTGGTCCCTGTTGACAAAGCAGGTAACAACATTGTCTTTGTTTGTAAGGCTCATTATATTAAATGTATTTTAGAGGAACTTGGATTTAATTCTACAAGTGGTAATCCAACTTATACTCATAGTTCTCTTTCTAAGGAAGAAATTCTTCAAAATCACAACCAAAATGAATTTGAATTACCTTATCTATATTGGATTCCGAAACTTCATAAAAATCCTTACAAACAAAGATACATAGCGGGTTCCAGTATATGTTCAACCAAGCCTCTTTCTTTACTCCTCACTAAGATATTAACAGTAGTGAAGGGGAAACTTCAAGAGTACTGTGGAACAATATATTCGAGAAGTGGTGTAAATCAGATGTGGATACTTAAAAATTCAAAGGAACTTTTGGAAAATTTGAAATCACAAGATTTTACCAAAATCAACAGCTTAAAAACTTATGACTTTTCAACTTTATACACAACCATTCCCCACGATAAATTAAAATCCAGGCTTTTTGATATCATTGACAGCTGCTTTTTCAATAAAAATGGAACTCGTAAATTTACTTACCTTGTCATTGGTCATTTGCAAAATTATTTTGTAAAAAAAACCCATTCTGATTGTACACACAAGTACTCTGAAGTTGACATTAAAAAGATGCTTGAGTTTCTGATTGACTATATCTATGTGGTTTTTGGAGACCAGGTCTTCCCAACAATCTATTGGAATTCCCATGGGTACCAATTGCGCCCCGTTATTAGCAGACCTTTTTTTGTATTCATATGAAGCAGAATTTGTCCAAAATCTAATACATGAAAAGAAGAAATCACTTCCTGTGGCCTTCAACTCGACTTCAGATATATCGACGACGTATTGTCAATTAACAATGGTTATTTCCATTCTTATGTCGATACGATATATCCCGGTGAGCTTGAGATAAAAGATACTACAGAGTCTGACACATCTGTTTCATATTTGGATATTTTACTTGAAAAAAGACGTTAATGGTAATCTAACAACCAAGCTTTATGATAAACGTGATGACTTTAACTTTTCAATCGTCAACTTCCCTTACTTATGCAGCAATATACCTTCATCACCTGCATACGGGGTTTATATCTCTCAGTTGATTCGATACGAAAGAGCATGCTCTACGTATGTACAATTTCTAAAACGAGGTAAATTATTGACAAACAAGTTGATGAAACAAGAATATCAGCAGTCTTGTTTAAAGTCATCATTTCGTAAGTTCTACGGTCGATACAATGACCTTGTCAGCAAATACAATTTATCATTGAGTCAAATGCTGACTGACGTTTTTCATACTAATTGTTAGGCCATTATTTACACACTGAATTGTCGACGGATTTTTCCGTTATTCCTGATCATGACAAGGAGCACACGGCGGATGTGACCGGTCGGCAGGGGATGCTCGCTCCTCCATGGCACCTTATCCCACCTCTGATGTTTTGGAGGTCCGTGTTTACTCTGCACCTATTTTGTAATGTTTAATGGACTTTTGAGCTTGAATACTGTTCGTTATCGCCATATATTTCATGCAAGATAAATTATGTTAACATGCAACATACTAGTAATTATGTATACATGCGACTTATTTATGTCAACATGCAAAATTATTATGTTGACATGCAAGTCACCAATCTCTCTAGAGAATCTAATTTTAATATTGGCAAACTTACTTAATAACACCATTATATGACATCATACAAGCAAGATACAACAGGATTATGTAGACATGCGACTTATTTATATCAACATGTCAAATTATTATATCAACATGCAACTTATTTATGTCAACATGCAAGATAATTATGTAAACATGCGAGTTAATTATGTCAGCATGCGAGATATGTATGTTAACATGAAACTTATTATCTTGCATGTTGACATAAATACCTTGCATGTTAAAATATAACTCGCAAGTGGACATAAATAAGTCGCATGTCTACATAATTCTGTTGCCGCTTGCTTGTATGATATCGTATATTGGCGTTAGTAAGTAATTTACCAACATTAAAATTAGATTCTCAAAAAAGATTGCTAACTTGCATGTCAACATAATTATTTTGCATGTGGACATAATTATCTTGCATGTTGACATACTTATGCTAACATAATTTATCTTGCATGTAAGAGGCAGAAATATACGGAAGCGTAAAGGTCTCTCCACTTATTGTGTTATAACGTGTATATTGTCTTATATTTTATTGTCTTATCAACATATAAAGTGTTGTAACTCCTTATTTATACCCATATTTTGAATTGTATTTAGATGTTGTTACATAATTTAAGGCACCTTATTTTATTTAATAAATTTTATTACTATAAGTATTATCGACTTAAAAAAAATATTGATGTTAAGATATTGATCAAAGCAAGATATTTAATCATATCAATATAGTGAAGTTGATATGTAAAAATAAATATGTAGATAAATCGATATAAATGTATGAATATTTCCGAGAGAGAAGTGAGAAAATATTATTATTGAATTAACTTCGCGGGGGAAGGAATTCTAATGAATCTTCCCTCACTAGGGATTCAGTGAAAGCTCCTGTACCATGTATTTGCTATCATATACGATTATAGGCTGATACAGATTGAAAAATGTTTTGAAAAAGGAGGATAGAGAGACAGCAGCAGTTAGATCATATGCATAGTCATAGGGGGCTACTGTCCCAATCACCACTTTTGAAGAGGGGGGAGGCAAGAGTATAATTGTGCTACCTAAGTATATAATAGACCCACTAATATATCCCGAAAATATAGAAGAATACTCGCAGCTGGATAATTAAACCTCTGTTTTTCTTTTGGTTGACCCACATCCTTTTTCCCTTTCAACTTTCTGACTATAAGTTTATGCAGATTGGCTGCAATGAAGCACAAATTATTTTACATAATTCTAAGTAATAAGAAGTTAGATCTTATGTTCTGATAGTTATGCTTTATTTGATATGTATTCTATCATAATTGACTGGTTATATTTTTTAGTTCGGGGGTGGGGGTCAAGACTATGGAGGTTCACATCTATGTGGCAGATCCTATGTTTACCACAGAATGAAAAACATAGGTAATCAGAGATTACAGAGCTCACCTCAACCAATGTTGTCTTTAAGTAAGGCAAAGTCCCACACTAAACTAATAATCTAGGAGTGTGCATCCCTAGATGCAACATTTATGCAATTTTGGTCTGATAGGGCATGCAGTTACTTGGGAATGGGCTTATCTGAAAACTTAAAACCAGTCACTCATTCAGAAAATGTAAGTCAAATCCAGCATCCGAAGCAAGTTTTGAGATTGTTCGTCCCTTGATGCATCATCCATGCAAGTTTGGTTCAGATAGGCCTTATAGTTACTTGGAAATGAGATCTGCTCCAAAAACTTTAATCTGGTCACTCATTCGGAAAATGTAGGTCAGATCAAGCATCCGAAGCAAGTCCAGTAGTGTGAATCCTTAGATGTATTATCCATGCAAGTTTGGTCAATATAGGGCTTATAGTTACTTGGATATGACATCTGCTTCAAAAACTTTAACCTGGTCACTCATCTGGAAAATATAGGTCAGATCCAGCATCCGAAGCAAGTCCAGTAGTGTGCATCCTTAGATGTATCATCCATGCAAGTTTGGACAATATAGGGCTTATAGTTACTTGGAAATGAGATCTGCTCCAAAAACTTTAACCTGGTTACTCATTCGGAAAATGTAGGTCAGATTCAGCATCCGAAGCAAGTCCAGTAGTGTACATCCTTATATGTATCATCCATGCAAGTTTGGTCAATATAGGGCTTTTAGTTACTAGGAAATGACATCTGCTCCAAAAACTTTAACCTGGTCACTCATCCAGAAAATATAGGTCAGATTCAGCATCAGAAGCAAGTCCAGTAGTGTGCATCCTTAGATGTATCATCCATGCAAGTTTGGTCAATATAGGGCTTATAGTTCCTTGGAAATGAGATCTACTCCCAAAACCTTAACCTAGTCACTCATCCGGAAAATGTAGGTCAGATCCAGCATCCGAAGCAA